CCCCTTTGCAGACTACATTTACCTTTTTCCTTTGAAGCTAAAGATGGTGACTATTTTGTGGCCAATAGGATAAGAGAAGTGCTATATGCAACTCTCAGATTATGTCCTTAAAAAGGAAACTGATTTCTCTTCACTTACTTGTTGTCTCTGCTTCCCAAGGGCTGGAGTGGGATCATGGTGCTGGTAAACTAACCTCAAATCTGTAGACACAAGCAACATTCCAGGAAATAAAAGAGTAGGCTGGGTTCCTAACTAAAGAACTCGTGGAACTGCCAGCTGCCAAGGATCATGTACTATGAAAGAGTAATAAATTTGCATCTGTCTTACAGCCACTGTATTTCTGGGCCTCCTTGTTTCAGCAGCATGGCCCAAGTAATACATACAAAAACCATGAAAACATGTTATATTCCATTCCAAAGTCTCCTGAGATTGGTAAGGAACAAGCATAAAGGCTTACATGTGGGTAAGCCAAAACAGGAAGTACTTTCTTGAAAAGTTTCTGGAAGTGACAATTGTATCTTAAAAACTTGGCCCAGGGTCAAATCATATGGGAACCATGCTGCCTTTCTGTGGCAATTCCATGAACTGTATCAGTCAGTGTCACTTTTCATGTGGACTTTGCATATTCCACTTGGGTCATCAGAGCATGCCAATGCTGTTCTTGGAGCTGCTGGGATCTAAGAGGGCAGGGGAAGCGTAAGATGTAGAATTGAGGGCTCTTGCCAACCTTCCCAGTTGTCTGGGTTTGGATGCAATCAGCAAGGCAGTCCTTCAGAAAGTGTTCTGTGAGAGGGTGGAAGTTCACCCCAAGGCAAAGAAATCTGTGCAGGGCCATGGGCCACAGTCTAGGATGGTGTCAATCCATATTTTTCTCCAAAGCACAGTGGGGCACTTTGTCTGACAGTTATGAGCAGGACCCTGCCATGCACCGTCTCAGGAAGGGCTTGAAGAGAAACCATGCGCTGTAGGTAGACCCATGTCCTGCCAGATGCCTGCGGAAGCTCCGGGGTCTGCAGCCATGGCCAGAAGGTGTGCCACTTTCCCGAAGGATCGGCACTCGTGATCACATTTTTATCAAAATGCGGGCATGTCCTGGCATCAAACTATTCACTTTCTTGCAGAAATGTCTTTAGCAGAGAGTGACCAGTCGGTGCTCAAATATTCCATTTTTGTTGCCTCCAAAGACAGAGACTAAAATCTTGTAAAGACAAAACAGCTCTGGCATGTCAAACTCTGCCCAGAAAAAACACAAGCAACAGCAAGTCATGAGGCTGAAGACGTGGGGTAAGGAGGAAAGGGAAATGAAAGAAGAGCCACAACAAGGAAAATATTGTGCTCCTGGAAATGAAACTTCACGATGCTGGGACTCCCCCTTAGAAGCCTGGGGCCTGACTCAGCACACACTGATAAAATGCTAAAGGCGAATGACTTACGACTATAGGGCAAAGTTAGATTTCCCCACAGCCTTCTTCGCCTACTTGACACCCTTGAGTGTTTTTTATTTCTCTTTTCCCATAGTGCTCGGGGGTCCCCAGTCACACCACTGAGCTCACCTGGGTTTCTCTTTTCTGGCAGAAGGCAGGGCCAATGATTGCTTTCCCTCTTATGGGTAAAATCTAATCTTTAATTTTAAAAGGAAAGTGACAGTGGGCAGAGGGGAGGTTAAAACAGATTACAGATTTCAAAGAATGTATTTTGGGACTTTTGGAGTATTTTTTCCAGCGTCAGATTTTGCCCAGTATATTCCTATAGCAACATACTGCCTATTATCACTATTGTTACTGTGTTTTCACTTTATTCTCCTTTAATATTCAGTCTCAAGGTGAGTGACTTTTACATCTTTCTCATTTAGGAAAAATTACTAAATGCTTGGGGCTATTTTATAAGCTTCATCTAAAAACTGACTCAGAGAAATACTTTTGCTTTTGAAACAGTTTGTTTCCCAAGGGTGTTGAAAGAGGCAACACATTGGTGTCTATCCCACTAACTCTATAATTTCCGTCAAGGATGGAAATAAAATTTCTCTTCCTAGGAGAAGAGTCGAGATAGTGAAGATTATCAATAGGTTAAGCTCTCAGCCTGAATTTGCTCAGCAATATCTTTGTCCTTATTGACTGGGGAAAAACAGAAAACATGGGACTTCCTGGGGGGACTTTTACCAAGTGAACAAACAAGAAACAATCAAAGAGTGTACGCACTCCTCCAACTCAAACGTTACAGAATTTCAAATCTTGCTAGAAGGTCAATTCTCTGAGCTCTTTAGGACCCTAACCAGTTATACACAGAGGGCACGTAACTTATTACAGTACGAAAATAAAAGAAAATCTTCTTTGTGTGCTTTGTCAGCTTCACAAATGGTCCAAATAATCACCAAAAAAGGCAGAAAGGAGAGATGGGATCAACTGATCCTGGGAGTCTTACAAGGTCACTCTGTTCTCTTTGTATATGAGAAATAATAAAATGCCTTTGCTATGATTCACCACATCGTAGGAACTTCAGAAGCTAAAGGAAGACATCAGAAAGAAGAGAAAGGTAGTGATGAGAAGAAATGATGAGAGAAGAGAAGGAGAAAATGTAAGCTCTGATCAAGTTGCCCCATCAAAGACTGCTTTTTGCTCAGATCCTGATTCCACAGTTGGAGGTTCAGGTGCCTTGAGCATCTTTCCACATCTGCTGTTCTCATCTCTCCACTCTCCCTTCTCCCGTAGCCAATAATGACAAGGCAATATAGTAAATGTCTCCTTTTTGGGGGTAGGTGGAGTAAGGCAGTTCTTCCTCAGCTTTTCTAAGCTTCCAAAGATCTGGGTAGAGAAAGTAGAGAAGGTACCATTGTTTCCCCAGAATGTCTAGAAGGACTAAGGAGGCTTCTCATTTCTTTGAGCGCCCCACACTTAATCTAGGTTCCTCTCTGAGGTCCTTCAGCAACTCCTGCCCCACCCAAAGAGAGTAAGTACACCCGTGGAAATCCCCTGAGCAAACTAGCACATGCTGTACCAAAATATTGTGTCTTGACTTTGTTCTTTTAAGTCTTCACAACTAAAGGAAAGAGATACAATCAAAATGATAGTCCACTTAAATGATAAACAAGAGAATTTAAAGAGACATGACCCAGTTACTCACCCGTGGAGTGACAGTCTGTGAGCAGTTCATGAGGTCTGTGCTGGTGGATGGATATGATTTGTGAGTTCTCTTTGAAGACTTATTTAGTTCATGGAAATTTATAATTAGAGCTTTCTTGAAAGGATATTCAGCTCAAGACGCACAACACACTAATTTTTGTGAATCAGGCTTATGAGTTTCTAACTGAGCATTCAAAACAAAATCAGAGACGAGAACACAAATTATTATTTGAGGCACAAAATTGTCACCGTTTCTTTGGTTTGGAAGATGTGTGAAAGATGCAGCAGGTGGAGGAGGTAGATTATGTCCCATTCAGTTGGCTTCTTGCTCTGAAATGTTCCTTGAGCTTGTAGTCCAGAGTGTGACTATAAACAGGGCATCCCGTATCTGTTACGGATCTGCCTCAACCCTGAAGAGGGGCTTCCAGGGGCTGATACAAATGCCGCACCTCCTCTTTTCTCATCTTATGAGATTGTCACTGTAACTGTAATGATGACAAGCTAACTTATGCAGCTTTCAAAGACTCTCTGTTTTACACTTGGGGAGATGTTGTTCATCTTGGTTACTATAGCCATTTTTACAAGCCCATAGGACCGATTTTACCCAATAACAGTGAATTAAACAAGTTCAAAAGTCACTGTCCACTCAGCATCTCTGTACTTGTCACCTTATAATCCTAGTCTTGTGGCTTCTTTCTAAAAGAGCCAAGGTGAATCAAGACAGTAGTGTTTCATGGCCGGAATCTAGGCTAGATTATCCGTGAGAAGACATGAGCAGAAGTATGCCCTTCAGGAGCCCTGTCTGTGTGCTGATGACAGAACTGCTATGTACCTGTGCCTTCAAACGTGAATGATGGTTTGAGGGGGAACATCCAACAATTACTAAAAAGTCAGCCAGGCTTAACAAATATCACTGCTTTAACCATGAGGCCATGTTGGGGACAATTTTGATGGACAAGCTAGTTTAAGGAGAGTCTGAGTGACCTCTGTCATCGTCTCAGGCTTCTGCCCCGTATAAGTAGGTACCAGTGTGGTCTGCACATACTGTATGTTACTGCAAAGCAGTGCGGCAATCAGATTTTCACAAATAGAATCTTATTTTATATACATGGAGAAGACTATTTAAACAAGGGGTCTTTTACTGTAAAGGGCTAGATGGTGAAGATTTTACACTTTGTGTGCTGTACGGTTTCTGTCTCAGCGACTTCACTATGCTCTTGCAGCCCCAAAGCAGCCATGTTACAACAGAACTTTACTTACGAAAACAAGTGGTAGGCCAAATTTGGCCCCTAGGCCATAGCTTGCCAACTCCTAAATTAAACAAATCATTCTTGAATGCCTACTATGACGGGTGAGGCATCAGTAACCACCAGGGATACACAAAGAACAAAACAGAATAGTTACTGTGCTTGTGGAACTCTCTAGCGTGTATGTTCTGAGATAAGAGGTAGACAATTTAAAATATACCTGCAATAAATGACTTCATTAAGTGCAGAATCTTTCTTTAAAGCAAAACTCACCTCAGACATGCAACTGATAAGTTTGTCAGTTTAGATTTTTGTCTCATGATTCTTTGAAAACGGGCCTAAGCTAGTTTGAACCTGGATTTGAATCTACCACCTTAGTCTGAAACAAGCCTAGTACGTTTGGGGGCTGCCAGGGACACCAAAGAGGTACAAGCATCTCAAAGGCTCCATCCCTTCCTTCCCTCCACTTCTGCTTATAGCAACACTCCTTTTACCCACACTTCCTGTTTCTGGCACTTGCCTTCTTTTCTGCTGTTTATACTCTTCCCCCAATACTTCCCCCCTGTGGTTAAACAAGTATAAAGTCCTAAAGCTGTAGATTAAAGTTGCTCTCTCTCTCTCTCATTCATTCCTCCCTACACGTAGGCTCACGCGGCTCACGCGCCTGCTCTCTCCTCTCTCTCTCTCAGAATGACACCTCTAGGTATTGCTTTGGGTATGGTTTTCTATTTACTTCAAGCCGTTTCTGGAGAAAGTGGCTATGCAGAGAATGGTGAGTCATTTCTAACTTTTCTTTAGGATTTCAGATGATCTCTAGCATCTGTTTCAGGTTGCTCAGATCCCTAACAGACCAAAGTGGGGCACTGGGTTAGAAGGGAGTTTGAGGGCTTGCCATGTAGTCAGTCGTTTTGTGCATTCTAAGCACCAGGACAGGGGGCCTGGGGACAACACTCTGAGTGGTTTGTAAAGGCTTAGAATTGTCAAGGGATGCACTTGACTCTCTCAATGTGGATCTTACATGTTGGTCAATGCCTCTGCTCTTACAAAAAGAATACCCACAGAGACACACTGGTTATGCTTGTTGGAGAATCTTCAAGGTAATTTTTTCCTTGTCAAGAAATGAAGCTCATTTTGTTTTGTTTAGCTTTTTAGAAGGTTCTGAAATCTTCACTTTCAAGATAAAATAATATCCAAGAGCAACAGCTTTCTCTGCACTTACCTTTGCTATATCCTCAGCACCTACTCTAGCATCTAGAACATAGTACACCTTTAACAAATATTTGAAAATTTCTTCAAAATACTTTAGTTTGGGTAGAATCGTGTGGTATTCTTAGTGAATAACTGAATAGGGTTAAGATCTGAGTGAGTTCTCATTGAAATATATTTAACTATCTCCATGTCAACAATTTTACCATTATATAATAATTATCTTTGGGATCCTTAAAATACTTGGTATCTAGAGGCAGATGCTGCCTACTTTGTAAATCCATTCTAATTACAACTGAACCGTACACAAAGGTAAAGTAGTCCAGAGGAGCCACCTGGAAACTTGGACCAACAAATTGCTCCTGAAAATTAAATGCTTTCACTTTAAGACTTACAAAGTGTTTGCTTAACGAAGATATCAAGCACATCAGTCTAATGAATCAGCTTGGATATCTTAAGTCACGTAATTTCTAAGGACGGAAATCCCTAGAATATTTTCTTTAAGGGACTTGTCAGAGGGTTGACATTTTTCACAGTGTGACTGTAAATAAATCACTTTGTGGGAGATGATGATTATTTCATGGTAAATGTTGTCTTGTGTCTGTAGATAGATGCTTGGCACGTAACACATAAATCTTACTCTTTGGAGTATAGTATATCCCTTCTATTTCTCTCTGCTGGTCATATTATTTTGAAAAGAAATTAACAATTTTAATTGAAAGCTGAGTTTTCACTTCAACTTTTTAAATTTCAGGGTTTTTTAGGAGATTTGTAACCACCCATCCACATGACTACATCAAAATACTTCCCGGTTTGGGGTGTCAGGAATTCAAAATAATCAACTGTGGTTTGTTGAAAGATAAGTTAGTTCTCTGATAACCACAAGAGTGACCAAGAGAAGAAAGGGATACTTTTTAAAAATCCAAACCATTTATACTTTTACTCAACTAAGCCCTTTCAGTAGGAAGCTTTTAAACCACACTGCCTTGTCTATAATACATAGTTCAAAAAACCTAATTTTTATAATGAGCTTTTAAAAAATAATAGGTTAACTCACTGTTAAAAGCTCTATGTAATTTCAAAGCCATAGTCATAATAACACCTTTGACAGAGAACTCTTTTTCAAAGGAGGCCCAAATGTTTCATGTATATTCTCAGAATTAGAATTCTTATTTTACCTTTTCATTATTTATTTCTCAAAAAAATGTGATAACGTAGCTAACCCTGACTGAGTGCTTACTGTGTTCTAAGAAGTCTTTGTATACATTTATTCAGTGACTCCTCATGATAACATGAATTTAAATATCAGAACTCTGAAGCTTAGAAAGGTCGAATAACCTGATGGAAGACGACAGCTACACAGTAGAATAGCCAGGATTTTAACCCACATCTGTTCAGCTCTGGTGCCAGAGGTCTTAACCACTGTGTATATGATGCTTAACTAAGCTTAGAGCAGGTATAACATTCTCTTTGTAAAATGCCATGCGATTTTGCAGGTTATTGAGAATTTTTCTTGTATACAAAGCAACTTGGCTCAGTAACACCTGCTAAAGAGCCAATGAGCTGTTTCTCAAAACATGGCCGTTTTAATTGTACGACCACTGCTTTTTTTCTCATTTATTGAAGTATAGTTAACTTACAATGTTGTGTTAGTTTCAAGTGTACAGCAAAGTGATTCAGTTATACATACATATATATATATACATATATATATGTATATATATATATATATATATGTATATATATATACTTTTTCAGGTTCTTTTCCATTGTAGATTACTATCAGATATTGAGTATAGTTCCCTGTGCTATACAGTAGGTCCTTGTTATTTACCTACTTTACATATAGTAGTGTGTATATGTTAATCCCAAACTCCTAATTTATCTCCCCCCGCCTCCCACTATCCCCTTTGGTAACCATAAGTTTGTGAATTTATTTCTGTTTTGTAAATACGTTCATTTGTATCATTTTTAGATTCCACATGTAAGCAATATCGTATGATATTTGTCTTTCTCTGTCTGACTTACTTAACCTCTAGGTCCATCCATGCTGCTGCAAATGGCATTATTTCACTCTTTTTTATGGTGGAGTAATATTCCATTGTATATGTATACCACCTCTTCTTTATCCATTCATCTGTCAATGGACATTTAGGTTGCTTCCATGTCTTGGCTATTGTAAATGGCCACTGCTTTATAAAATGTATAAGAATATACAGCAAGCTCACTTTGCCAGATTGGATGGTTAAAGACAGTGGGAGTGCTTTGTTCTGTTAATACCCGGCATCTGCCAGACTCTGCTCTCTCTGGCTTACATTGTATGTTGAAGAATTTTTGAGTCAAAGATGATCCACAAATGTCTGAATCCAAATAGTAATGTAGGTTCTGTTGTACAAGATTGGTGGAAGTTTTAAAGAAGAGAAAACATTAAGAGAGCATGAGTACTGCCATATAAGGGCAGGCTAAAGCCACACAGAACCATTCCATCAAGAAATGTGCCAGCAATTAGGGGACTAGATCTCACTCTATAAGATTAGGAACGAATATGTTTTGAAATGGGAGCCCTAAATGGTGGGCTGCCCCTCATTATTTAAAATTGTCATTAATAAGAGGGCCATACTCTTCTGAAATTACATAAGGAGTCTTTGCTGCTGGTGGCAGAATTGTGAGCTGGACGGGTTCTAGGTATAGTCAGAAAGAGCAGTGCCTTGTCTAGATGTGGCTTTTTGAGATTTGTCACTTTGACTGAACCGACCTTTCTCTCAACTGGTTGATCCACTCACAACCAGCTTTAGTAACTTTCCCATAGAACTAATGGGTTATTGAAGTAAAGGGGATGCTGCTTGTAATCCCATGGCCTACAGGACACTAAACTGGCGTTTGATTCTTAGTATATTGTCTATCCTATTTAAAGCCCTAGAGCATCTATTTTCTAGTATCAATGGGCCAAAGTAATTTCTAGTATCATTGGATTTTGAAGCAATCATAGCTCACACTCAGCCTGAGAATGGCTTTGGTTACTCTGGATTTTCTCAGATCCCACTTGGAGTATATTTGCTGGCATAGTTTTCTCTATTAAATATTATAAAATATACACACAAAATATCTATATAATCTTAAGGGCCTCAACCCAGCTTAAGAAATCAAATACTATCTCTGACAGACAATACTTTCCAAAAGTGGTGGCAAAAAATTCTGGTCCCCCACATACTTCCAGAATTTTGCTAATACCTAGAAAATGCAGTATCTCTAAAAGAAGGTTGTATAAGCACAGAAATAGTATCTATAAGATTTATGGGAAGGCTCACCAGATCTGAGTCCTGTCATGTAATTTTTCCTAATCATGTTTGCCTCAGTTAGTAGCTTAAGACAAGTTGCTTTATATAAATATTCACACAATGGAGATAATCAATGGTACTTTTAGTTAGCATGCGTATTTAGGCAAGGGAAAGCTACCATTTTAAAAAAGTGAACTTCTGAATGCAAGTTAGCTATCACCTTCTTTCATTCAAAAAAAATTCTTGAGAGAGAATAAATGAAGATTAGTAATAAAGCCCAAGACTAGATTAGGTAGCACATAAATAATAAAGTATCTCATTTGAAATGTATACAAACAAAAGAAATTCCCATCTATATAAAAGAAAGTGTGTTTAGTGTCTCATTCTAGACCTCCAATGCACTAACCCAATGGCAGAGATATTTAGAAATCTTAAGAGGCTATTTATTAATTGTGATGACTTTTTTTCTATTAGAAAAAAATCTGTGCTCATTAGGTTTTGTTTTGGTTTTGTTATTTTGTTTGTTTGAAATCCTATTTCTTGTCTTTTGTCTTTGGGCTTTCCTTCTTTAGGTAAACAACCATCACTCCTTTATGTCCACCACAGAAGGCTGCCACTTTATCAGTCACTCCAGATTTCAAAAGGATGCACTTATTTGCTTCATTAACAGCTGTAGGTTTGTTCTTTCCCAGGAGACTTTGACGATGCAGAAATGGATGACTACTCATTCTCGTGCTACAGTCAGCTGGAAGTGGATGGATCCCAGCACCTGATGACCTGTGCATTTGACGACCCGGACGTCAACAGCACCAATATGGAATTTGAAATATGGTAAGGAATGGTGCTTTCAGTGGGTGCTTAGAAATCCTCTGTCTCTCTTTCGTATAGTGTACAGCACCAGCTGCAAAGGTGAGAGTGTGGGAGCTAATTATCAAATAGCAAAATTGAATAAATTCCAGAAACTTCCTGGAACTCCTTGTCCTCCACCAAGAGACTCAAGCAAAGCAACCCTCAAGAGCTCATCTTTCAGGTCCCGCTGCTACAGCCAAATGACAGTATGGATGTAGGAGATCCCACATCCCTCCTGACTTCATGGCAGAATTTAAATTCTGGTTCTTCTGGGACACTCATCCCCCAAAAGCTCTTTGCCCCACCTGAGACGATGTAGTGTCTTGAAGCTGCACTTGAGGGAAGGTGCCTGGTTTCTAATCCCAACATGAGCACTTACTAGCTTTTTAATCTAGAGTAAGTTGTATAACTTATCTACGCCTTAGTTTCTTCACCTGTTAAATAAGATATACCACCTCATAGGGAGATGTGATGCTTAAATAATTTAATACTTTAATAATTTAATTAGAAGACATATCCGGTATGTAATAAGGAATGAAAAAGAGGCATTAAGTCAAAACTATGAATCTAGACTTAACTGCCATCCCCTTGACACAGTTTGACTTCAGATGGTACTCTCAATACCAATTTTCCAAAAATCCACAGAAATAAATTGGCTCTTGGTTTCATGGAGCCTCTCAGAAAAGGTAAAAAGAAAGAGAACGTCTCTGTCTGGTTTGAAGGTTTGGTAAAGAACTCAGAACTTTATCTTCTCCCTCTTTCACAAATCATCTCTTGTTGCCAAGGGTTACTATCTCTAATGACTTGAAAAAAATACTCGACCGTGAAATTCTGACTTGTGGCTATTTCCAAATTCATATCAGATGACCTAATTTTAGTTAGTTGCCTAGTAAGGAAAGTAAGTCAAGATCCACCAGTACTAAAAGAGGGCTCCTTAAATTCCATAGACACTCAGCCAGTCCTCCACAATATATAGTCTAGACAAGCCCTGAATCCCACGCCTTACGTTAATTCCCTACATCTGTTCATGAAGTGTCTTCTGCTATGGTCATCGGATAAATATGACCTTGGACTTGAATTCCATGGTGTGTTCTCAGTCTGCCTCTGTAAGTTCACTTCTATAACATGCTTTCCAGGAATAAAATATATCAAGAGAAGAGGAACCTACAATGTTCAGAATCTGTGCAGCAACTAGACTCCACTAAGGCAGCCGAATGACCCATTCAAAAGATGCACTCATTTTTGTGGGCAAAACCCTCTCCAACACAGAGGTCTGCTTTGAGCTTTCCAGCCAGCCGGGTGGTGAACTGCAGTGGTTTTTCTTGGGGAGGCTGAGGCTGACCTTCTGTCCACTTTCATTCACAATGGTATTTGAGCACTTCCTTGGCCACTTGAACAAACTTTCCCGCTTCCTTTAACAACTCTCTTGACTTCTCCTGTCATATTTTAACCTGTCCATAGCCTCCGTTTGGGTTTTTCAGTTGGGTTCAGATATTTCTGTTGGAAAGTGATTGTTTTAAGACACGTTTTCAGTGTGAAAGTATAAGTATGAAGCCCTTAGTAGGTTAAGGTGCTTCTGGAGAAAAGCCATTTTCGCAAAGGTATCCACACCTTGAGGGAGAGATTCGTGCAGCTCCTGGGTTCAGAATAGTGATGTAGCTCAAGTTAAAGCCACTTAAATAGAGTGCTGTACTTGCTGCTTTGGTTGGGCTTCTTTTTCCACAATGAAACTAGCTTTATTCGAGCTTTTTTTCCTGTGAACATAAATTTATAAAGAAAGGAATTGTAAATGATTGAAAACTGTGAGTTCTGCTGAAGTCATTACACAGGTGGGATTGTTGATAGAAAGCAGGCGTTGTTTCCCAGAGGGCTCACCAGGGACGTTTTCTAGCAAGCATTGCCTGATCTGGCCTCCAGTCTCCCAGGCTCAGAAACCCATTACTTAGTGTTCAGTGTGCAGTTCCATCTCTCAGGGATGGACTTGGATTAGCCAAAATCACAGAGTTGGATCGCCAGCACTCCAGTTGACAACTTTATATGGACAGATGCAACTATCATAGTGACCCAGATGTTCACCCCCAGCTCAGGTGTTTGGGGGGAGGAGAGAAAGAGAGGGCCAGTAGGTTGTACATCAATATAAATCCACTCTCACTGGGGGAATCTAGAAATTCTTCATTCACCAGAACCCTAACCAGCTCCCAGGTACCTGGAGTGACAAAGCAGAGGCACTGGAAACAGGCAGGGAGGTTGGAATCCCAGTAGCGGTACTAGCTCTGTGACCCGGGGAGTCATTTAAGCTCTGATCCCAGCAATTACCTTGCACTGGGGTAGAAGGTTTAGTGTCCGGCTTATGGTCAGTGCCTGTACATGGTACTTAATTCTCTCAGTGTCGTCAGATTTTCATTAAAAATGTGATCCAAAGGTTCAGTAAATACAGCAAAACAAAGGAAATTTGTTTGTTGATTTTAAGACCAGAGTTAATTTGATTCATATCTCAAAGCGGTTAATTTTTCTAAATTTAGTTGCCATCATTTAAAAATCTAGGTATCTCTTTAAAAATCAGATTTAGTAATGCTGGGCCTAGACAGCAAAAATTAGCTGAACAAAATTCTGATTGCTTCTATAGATGGGGAATTAAATCTCAGCCCTGAAGTTAGGCTCCATTTTCTCATTTCTATTACCCATGTGGACACCATAGGCATGTAAATGTGGGACCCTGCTTTTTAGGTGTCTGCATAACTTTCATATTCAGCTCAGAAGGTAATTATATTTCCTTTATTTCCACATTCTTGGGGGCACCACAGTCACTCCCAGGTACCGCCTACAGATACCACTTCAAATATGTCAATTTTTTGTTTTCGTCAATTACCACCAACATCACAGGCTGCATCCTGCCGAATCTACTTCATGCTCCTGACTTAACTAGCAATATCTGTCAAGTGTTTTTAATTTAGTCCTTTCTACAGTAATCCATACTAACTTTCAAAGGTGTTTAATACTTTTGAGAAGATTCTGTCTTTTAGGGCCAAATGAGGAATAAAATCTATGGTTGTTTTTAGTGTTTCCATGTAAATATCTGTTTGCACCAACAAGAGAAATGTACTTATCACGCTAAACTCCCAGCGATTGCAGGAGGTTTAGGAAGGTGGCGTTGGGGTGAAGAATCAGGTGCAGTGGTCCCAAGCAGTCTCTCCCTGTTTTCAGAACAAAGGGATTTGTGTGAGTGGCTTAGGTTTGATGTCCCTTAGGAAGGTCCTACAGGGCCAAATTTGCTAGCCTATAGTACTACTTGGGTACTTGTAGTGATCTCTTCACCAAAATACCCTAGAACAGCTCTATCCAACAGAAATACAATGTAATCCACAAATGTGTGCACAATATACGTAATTTAAACTTTCCTAGTAGCCTCATTTAAAAAAAAGAAATAGGTGAAAATTAATTTTAATATTTTATTTAATGTAATATTGCCAAAATATTATCATTTCAACCTATAATCTGTGTGAACAAAAAATATTCATGAGCTATTTTGCACTCTTTTGCATTCTACATCTTCAGAATCTGGTATTTCATATTTAGAGCACATCTCAATTTGGATGAGCCATATTTCAAGTGTTCAATATCCACATGTGGGGTTATGACTATTGTGTCAGCCAGTGAAATCCCAGAACATTCCTAATCCTAGCAATACACAGTTAGCAACCAAGTAAGCTGTTTTAATTTAATTAAGTGAATTGAAATGAATTGGATTGAATTGAGTTGAGCCACTCATGGGGGGACACAGAGATTCCTCCAATCACCTAAAGCCAGGGTTAGTGGCACAAAGCAAGGCTGTCTGTTCTAGACCACAGTTGTCTCTTAGTCTTCCGGCGCAGCTTCCCCTCCACATTGGGCAGCTCCTAGAGCTCAGAGCTCATAAAAGGATACCCAGGCTCACAAGACAGCAGTATGGTGATCCTTTATTTTTCTTGCTCTTTACTTGCACTCCCTGAAGGGCAGGAATGAACTAAGAATACCATTTTAGATTCTTCTTAAATGTCCAAGAGTACCGGGACCTTGCTACATGTTAAGGATCTGCAATGGAACATTCCACACATGCTTTACTTACAAATATATCCTAAACTCAATGATTGAACCAAAAGCCATTTCCTTCTAATTCCTCCATAACACGTTTACCTAAAGTTTAGAGATGGGATCCTGACTCAGTTCTCCTCTTCCATCCTTACTCATCAAACCATGACAGTGTTGCCATCTTCAGAACTTTCCATCTGACACTCTTCTCAAGTTTGTTCCTTGGTATCCGTCTAGCTTACCTTAAAATTTTGCTTTTTATTTACACTCTTCTCCAAATGGGAAAACCCATGTAGCCCAACAAGGGGCATACTCTACAAACTCCAACACACACACACACACACACACACACACACACACACACACACACTCAAAGCCAGAACTGCATACCCTAAATAACAGTTAACAAAAAACTATATTGGGGGGGGGAATTTTTAAGGAATGTCCCACAAACAATAAATATTTTTAGCCAATTATTAAACTTAAAATTTATTCATAAATCTTAGTTTTCATGACTGCAAGAGCTTAACCACAAAGACCACAGCAGCCCAAAGGTGAGAGGTTCTTCACGTAAAGCTGAGGCATTCTCCTCAGATTTTAACTCCATGCCCACCTCGCCTCATGCCACACAGACATGTTCCTTCTGCTCAGACTTCAGGAATGATCCTGGAAAGGGCTCACATGGGCACATGCACAGAAAAGTGCATACACATCCAACTCACCACAGAAAACCAACACACATTCTTGGTTGTTGGAAGTAAGTGACCTTTTTAGACTATACTCCCTATAATTTTTTTAAAATCTGATTAATGAGAAGAATTCTCTTCATGGAAGCAAACTTTTTTCTTCCACAATCCTCACTTCCAATTTGACCCCACTATGCCTCTTTTTGGGGCTATTTGGCTGGATTTAAA